AGTAACTATTGTTTTAAAACCAAGCATTTTTTCTTTATTAATTAAAAAAAAAATGAGATAACTGACAAGGTAGCCCGAGTGGGGTGGGGTGCGGGAGGGGGGAAGAACAAGGCCACATTGCTTATTGTAGCCACACTACAAATCAAAACTGTTTGAATGACAGCCTTCTGTTGCTTGGGCATCCTCTGGAGTGGAGTGGCTAGGTGCCCGGAGCCTCCCTCCCCCTGCGTTCTTGGGCGTCTGGGTGAGGAGGATATGGAACTTGGGGAGGAAGGCAGGTGGTTATACAATGGATGCAGTGGGGGTCTGTGCTCTTGTTGGCTTTCCTGCAGCTCCAACAGATGCTTCATCATATCCCATTTGCTCCCCCCCCATTAGCCTCAGCATCGCCTCCTGCCTCTGCTCTTTGCACTGACTTAATGCTTTTACGGCCTCTGCCACTGAATGTCTCCATGCATTCAGCTGCGCCCTATCAATGTGGGTGGACTGCATGAGCTTGGAAAATATGTCATTGCGAGTGCGTTTTTTTCGCCTTCTAATCGGTGATAACCTCAGGGACGGAGATGATGGGGGAGCATAGAAACATTTGCACCTGGGTGGAGATAAAAAGGGAGAGTAAAATGTAAGATGATACATTTCGAGTACAAAAGGGAGACTCTTTCACAGCGAATCAAGCAATTTACAGCAGACAGCACATGTGCTTTAGGTACAAGGTCGCATTTTCCCTTTTATATTGAGCACCTGCCGGTATGGTGACACATCACACACAGCTGGGCAACAGAATTCGGTTTCCAGGCAGCCATGGTAAGCCAAAGGGTACGCAGGGTTGGCTTCTTACACCTTCATAACATGCGGGAATGGTTTCAAACTGCAGCACCCTCCTTTCCCATAGCAAGCAATACTGGCTGGATTTGCCGTTTAAAAGGAGGGGCTGCAGTTTTGGAGTGGATGTGCAGTGCATCCTTCCCGCCATCATGTGGCTATTCTCCGGGATGATCCCTTTTAGCCAAGCGCAAACAACCCAGCATGAACGGGGTCCTTTTACTGTTCCCTTACAAAAATTCCCCTATTTCAACCAGGTTACCATGAATGATATCACTCTCCTGAAGCTGACACAAAAAGATAAAGACCGAATGTTGCTTGAATGCAACCAAAACCCAGGACCATTCGCTGCCATGCTTTGTGCTGCAATGATTCCAGACTACTTGCAACTGGCTTGGCATGGTAAAGTGTCCTACCATGGAGGACAAAATAAGGCAGCCCTCCCCAGAAACCTTCTGCAAAGGCTTTCAGAGTACCTCCAGGAGAGCTTTATGGAGATGTCCCTGGAAGATTCCCGCTCCATTCCCAGACACGTTAACAGACTTTTCCAATAGCTGTACTGGCCGCGAATGCATCCCAAGTCTTTAGGGCAAATCAAACATTAAACACTATTGCTTTTAAACCCTGTACTGTAGTTACAAATGTGCACTCACCAGAGCTGCCTTCTCCAGCTTCAGGGTCGGGGATCCCGCCTTGGGAGGGTATTGGCTCCAGGGTGATGAAAAGGTCCTGGCTGCCGGGGAGAATGGATTCACCACTTGCCTGCTGCACGTTCTCCTCCTCTTCCTCCTCATCCTCATCCACAAAATCCTCCTGCGTGTTGCGTGAGACCTCCCCCCTTGCAGGTGTCCACAAACAGTGGTGGGGTAGTGGTAGGGTCCCCCCTAGAATGCCACGCAGCTGATCATAGAAGTGGCATGTATGGGGCTCTGACCTGGAGTGACCATTTGCCTCCTTTGTCTTTTGGAAGGCTTGCCTGAGCTCCTTAACTTTCATGCGACACTGCTGTGTGTCCTTGTTGTAGCCTCTCTCCACCATGCCCTGTGCGATTTTGGCATATATATTAGTATTTCTTCTTTTTGACTGGAGTTTGGCCTGCACAGATTCTTCTCCCCATACAGCAATCAGATCCAGTGTTTCCCTTTTGGTCCATTCTGGAGCTCATTTGTGATTCTGGGGGGACTGCATGGTCACCTGTGCTGATGAGCTCATCTCGCTGACCAAACAGGAAATGAAATTCAAAATTTCCTGGGGCTTTTCCTGTGTACCTGGCTAGTGCATCAGAGTTGAAAGTGTTGTCCAGAGTGGTCACACTGGAGCACTCTGCGATAGCTCCCGGAGACCAATACCAACGAATTGGGTCTGCATTACCCCAAATTAGACCCAGCAAGGTCTATTTTAGTGCTCCTCCCCTCGCTGGGGACGAGTATAGAAGTCGATTTTAAGAGCCCTTTAGGTTGATGGAACGGGGTTGGTTGTGTAGACACATTCATTTTAAAATCGACCTAACACGGCTAAATTTGACCTAACCCCGTAGTGTAGACCAGGGCTTGGTGACTTTACAATCACAGAATTTCCATAGTTTCACGCAGGTGGGAGGATGGGCTTTACCTCATCACTCAGCCTAGTGGACCCTGGAACATCTCAGGTGATCATCTTGCAGAACTCAGTAAGTCCGAACGGAGCACCTGCCCCTTCATGGTATTCCTTGGCCCCAGCATTGCTCCACTCTATACCTGAGGTGTAATCATGGTCTCACTGAAATCAGTGGGAGTTTTGCCACTGATTTCCTGGAGTCAGGATTTCACCCTGGACCATAACTACACTCCCTGAAGTGGGCAAATATGAGCGGAGCTGAGTTTTTCAGAAACTAACTCTGACCCTGCAATTGCACAAGAGTTTCCATTGGCCACTAGGGGAATTATGATAGCCACCCTTTCTAGTTTTGCTCCCTTTCCACCTGGCTATGTCTTCCAACTTAGTGAGCCTCAAAATATGTGCTGTCCATGCAATGGACTTTCACATGTTCCTGGGCAAGGAACAATGCTGCTGATATTCCTTCCCCCTCCCATATGAAGAATTTATCAGCTGGTTTGGGCTGGTATGCGTTGCATTGAATCCCACGCACGTCTAGATACCGAGAGAATCATTTGGCCTTTCACTTTAAACTCATATGCAACAGTTATAAGAGTGCTGTCTTTTTCAACTGTGCCATTTACTCCGATAGTGCACACTCTTGTCTTAGCTCCAAGCCTTTTAACATATTAGTAGCACAGATATACAGAGTTCTGAGGTGATCCTGGAGTCTGTAGTAACTCATTCAAGTAACTCATGAATGCTCTTTCACGCCAGCGAGTTAGGGACATCACAGCAGGAAGGCAGCTTTCAAATACTTGACATTTAATGGATTCAACTCAGATTAGAGATTTTGAATTTAACTGTTTGAGGGTCCAGTCAACGTTTTCCCTAATTACATGTATATTTTTACAGGCAATAAGATAAAGATTGCCTGACCGCGACCTCCCGACAAAATAAATACAAACCCATCAACCCACAATTCACTCCAGTTTTTCTACAAGCTAAAAGAATCCAAGTTTATTTCAAAATGTCCTGAGGTTCAGTGTGCAAAACAATTAAGTTTAGTTTTTTGATCTCTACCTGTACCCAAAAAATACAGCTGGTCTCTGCTACTTGTATGTGTCAGGAAAAAAAACAGGGGTCAGAGCACTTTTTGTAAAATCTGTGCAAACCCGAATTTCAGCTCCAATCAATATTGCGAGCGGATGACGTGGTTGTTTTTCTCCTTTGCATGAGCAACGGAGGTAAAAAGCACTATTTGTTTTTACTTGAAAGGCTATCAAAAGTAACGGGACTGAAATGTTAAAAGAGTGAAGCCCAAGTCATCTGTTGCATTTTTTGTCTCTAGTCCATGCCTAATTTACCCACATGGAATTCTTTTGGAAGTTTTGGTCTCCTCAATGCTCCAGTTTGCAAAAGTGATGCCAGTTTGTAATGTACGACCAACTGCACTAAGTCATGTTTTGAGCCTTTCTTCCCCACATAAGCTGGTTACCAGAGAGTGCAGAGAGCCCAGAGCAACATTTTACAACAGAGAAAAATAAAGCCATTTCTGTAGCAGCTCTCTGTTTTGAAAATGACCCTGCTGCCTCCCTGCTTTGAAAGAAGAAATTGTGAGTGATGATATCAAATCAGAATTAAAAAACAAAAAAAGTTGAGGTTTAAGGTGGGCACTCGGACACTAAGATGAAGAGGCCTCTAGAAATGCCTATACATATAAGCAAAGTGAAGTGGAGAAACAATGTTAGTTATAAAGATCATATAACTCTCCATTGTTCATGTAGAAAAGCTACTTTTGTTGCATTTTCACACCCTACATGACATGGGAAAAATAATTTAACTACAAATATGTTCAAAGCAGAAATTCTACAGGAAAAATAATAGTGGGAAGGTACAACTAAGCTAAACAGAAGTAATGGGGAATTTGCAATTCAGATGGGAGATTCTGATTGTTGACAGTAAGTCATACTCATTATACACTTAAGGAAGAAATATAAAGACACCATCCAGGAGCTGGGGGAAAGTGCATCGTGCTCTCCAAGTCAGAATTGTTTACATTCCTATACCTACCACAGAACACTTACAAACCCTTATTCAGATATGCACCAAAGGTTTTTAAATGTTTCGGTCTAGTTTCCCACTGTGGAAACAAAAACTGATTTACCCACTGGAAAAGGAGAACTGACTGAAAATTAACAAAAGCAGATTTTTAACAGAACAAAATCATTAAAAATGTCTTCAGCAAAACACCATAACAGGAAAGTCTTCCAAAGATAACTCTTGTATTATCCCCTAACAGACCAAAATACTACCCCCCCACTTTAAACATAATGTTTGGAATATTGTATCAATAGGAAGAATAAAACATAACAGCTTTTGCTGCACCATCACTAAACTGCTTTGTAGTTCTATTTTTCACATGCAGACATGATCTAATAAGCAGATTTTCTCTTGCAGATAGTTTCTGGAACAATACATTATTAAAATAGTTAAAATAGGACAAGAATGGACTCATTAAGCTTTACTTGAAACACAATGTTTTCAAACCTCTCTTAAGCACATATGCATTTTTTTTTTTAAAACCGATGACTTCTTCTTACCTGTGAAAGATCAATGTTCAGATTCCTTACTAGATGTTATTGTCATGACAGGTCAAACAACTCTTTATAAAAGAATGAGTCTCCTTTAGGTACAGCACATATGTATGTTTTAAACACTCCTCCTCTATTCCCCTAAAAAGTCTTCCTTAATTCACTGTCAGTCAAAAACAAGTTGGTAAGAGTCTGAGTTGGAATTACCTGAAGGAGGAAACCGGAGAGAGAGGGAAAGGAATCTGAGAGGAGATTCGGTGATGTCAGCAGTATGTCTTAAGGAAATCTAGAGTTGAGCCCAGCAAACTTTATAACTACAATAGCACTCAACAACCCAGTTACGTGGTAAGCAAATACCTGCTTAAAAGGAAACTGATGTACTTTTAAAGAATGTCAGTTAATCTTTGAAGAAACTTTAGCCACACTGAGCAAAGTCCCTCAAAGGCCTTCTTGCCGAAACAAATAAGCTTTGCACATGTGAAAAAAAAAAAAAAAAGAAGAGACCCAAAAAAAAAAAAAGTCAACATTATTGATGATCCCCTTCCTTCTGGCAAAAAGGAGACTGAAACCCATCTGAAATGAATTTATACCAGGACTATTTTAGCACACTGAACCATAACAATCATGGTCATAGCTGAAATCCCTGAACACTAATGTTTCCAAGCTGGTTAGCCACAACAATATTTCTTTTTGATGACTTATTCTGAGCTTTCCTGTGGGCCATTTCTTCTGTTATTTACCAGATGCAGAAAATAAAGCAAGGTGGTACAGATTTGATTTGGGGAAAATTGGGTGCTTCTGAATGTGAAGAGTGAGTGGTGTAGGTGTTTTGCCATACATAACCCTTCTGAAGTGCCTTAGGTGCTACTTTCTTGTTTGATGGGATTCCCAGAAGTAAATCCCAAAAGCAGAAATGCAAGGGAAGACATTACAGCACTGGAAACACTGATCTGCTGGCTCTGGGATATTGTTCTCTGACATACATCCTCCCAGATGCATGGCTTCACGGAATTATGTCACAGCAAGCCAGTCCAATGCAACAGATCATAGAGACAAGCAACCATAGAGACTTCTGAGGGAGCACTTGATGCTAGATTGATCTTGCCCCCTTTAGTGTTGAGGTGCAAGAGGTGTTTTAAGTATGGGTTTTTACTAACAAAATCACAACCATCTCACTTCAAAGAAAACACACTAACAGAAGCGAAAGCTCTTTTTTCCACAGTGGCGTTGGTAAACAAACAATCATGTCATCGATATGCAACCATAGGAAACTAGAGGCCTGGAATTCTGCCTTCATGTGGTTCAGTATGTAGGCATTTAGGCAGTTCCAGCAGGCAACAGCTGTTTTAAATTTAGAAGGACATAAGTAAGATGTGATTTTATCTCTTTGTCAAAGACAAACAAACTTCACACCACTCACACATACACTCCTCCCCCAATTCTTAGACATGTGGCACGGAGTGTCCCTTTATTAATTATTATGAGAGACGGAGCTGGTAGCTACCCCTGTATTTAGGTTGTCTAGTGCCTTGCATTATAAAAAGAGTCCAGTGACCTTTTTTTTGAGATGCTGTAACTTTACCTTTGTTTGCAGCAGGCCTTTGGAACTGGGCAGGGATAAAACCCTTGAGCTAGAGAAATTCCATTCAGGGTTAGCTGAGCTATGAATGATTAAAATTGCTATTTCCCGGCTCTGACTTGTGTTCCTCAGGAAAATGGTGGCAGCTTGCCAACATAATAACAATGTGAATATACTAAAGTGTCAGGCCCACAGTGCCACTAATGCAGCACACGCTGCACTGGGAAAGCCTGGTAGCTGCCAAAGCCAGTATAATGGTGGGTGGGGTGGAAAGAGAGGCAGACTGGGCTCTCATCAGCCCTTGCACATGGTTTCAGCATCCTAGCCTCCCTCTGTGGATATCAAATGGGGCAGCAATTCCTCCAACTCCCAGACAGTGAGGAGAGAGAAAGAGGTGGCTGAGCTCTCCCACCAATCACACCTTAGACCCAGAACATGCACCAGCAACAGATTTCCTCTGAGGTAAGAGCCTTCTCCTGCTGTTAACTGATGCAGTTAGCCTTGTATCTCAAGTGCAGTAGTCTGTACTGCAGTGCTGAAGGTTCAGAGTTCACACCCTGTTAATGATGCATGATGATATATATCTACCTTTTCCCTTCTTAGAAAAACCTAGAAAATTACTTGCAAAAAGTTATGTTAAGGTTGCAAAGTTAAGCACTTGAAAATTAGGAAATGCCTGTTGTACAGTTGCCTGTGAATATTTATTCAGACCCTTTGTACATATGTGCTATGATACAGTCTTTAATTACATGAGCTACTACTATTTCTCCCACAGGATGCCTGCCTCATTCAGTGCACAAAGTGGTAGAATTAAGGGTCCACAGGTAAATATAAATCTGACATTTCCCAACTTTTGCATGCTTGACTTTGCAACTCAAATGCCTTTCTCTTAATGTAGCTTTTTCTGCGTAATTTATTATACACAGTGCCCATAGCATGCAAGACCCTTTACAGAGAATTGTCAATACAAGATCCCTGTCTTAAAGCACTTACACTGCATGTAATGTCTTTTACTGTACCCCAGTGCTATGGCTCACATTTAGAACAATGATAGGGAAGAGTATAACATCCCAGAAGTTCAGTTGTTTATCTGTAGTTTTTGGATCTATAAATTTGGGCAGGAAATCTAATGATAATAATTTACTTTCTCGTGGTATTTCCAACTCTTACACTGTTTTTGGAGAGAGTCAAGTAGGGAAGAGACAGAAGAAAACAAAAATTTCAGGCAGAAAATGATTCAGACTTGCAAAAAAGTTTTAGTCAAGGTTCAGTTCAACATGTGTCTGCATGCATCCCAAAGGGGGAATAAAAGTCATAATGAACATTTGAATTTTAGCTTTTCCCTATCACAAATATGTCAGAAAAAATGTTTTACTGTCTCTCTGAAATAAAAATAAAGATACACATTTCATTGCACAATTTTTTCTAGGTAAATATATATAGGAATTAGCAAAAGTTGTGTTACAATTTATGATCATAAACAAGTGCAGAAACACATCTTGACCAAAATGCATCTCTAAGTTCTATTTCCTAACAAATAAAAAAATTCTTAAATCTTTAATTACATGCATTAATTAGAAGTTTCAGGGTCACTGGGTGGGTTAAGCAATGGAAGAAAGAGGCTACTTCCACCTAAAGAGGATAGATGTGCTTGAGCCATGAAGTTCAGACCTGAAATTATATTTGAATCTGGATTCAAAACTCTCCCAAAGTTTGGGGGAATTTAGATCTAAGATTTTGGCCCAGCTCATTACAGAAATAGGAGCAACTATGCACTGCTCGGATCCTGATCAAAATGTCCTGCAGAGGTATTTGAATCAACGAGTTTGAGTGAGGTCCACATCTAATTATTATTGAAGAATTTGGGGAGAAGAAAAAACAAATTTATGGTGCATCTCAAAAGCTTGGAGCAGCGGAAGGCATTGTTTCCAAGGGACAACATGTTCTTTTGGAAATGCTGGAGCTATTTTTGGTGAGCTGGTAGACTGAAACCATTGACTTAGCCCACACATATTGCCTAAGACACCCTCCTAAGTAGGCAGAGACCAGTTGGTCAGGCTAACCTCACAGTATGGTTCACTCTCCTGAAAGTTGCTTGTGCTGAAGACGACAGTTCTTGGGATACTACTGAGCACCTTAGAGGAAAAATCCTAGCTATGTATAGCCAATACAACCAAAACTATTCCTTTCAGCATATCAACTTTTCACACACACAAAGAACTAAGCTCAAAATGCATTTTTATCAATCACTCTAATTAAATGAGATCTGATTATTTAATATGTAAAATCTACATAAAAAAGCCAATTTCCATTCCCATTTAAAAAATGGTAAGAAAATACACACTGCACTCTATAAATGATATTTTAATTAAAAAAACAAAAACAAAGATGCTAACTTGAAACTTCTTTTTAGATTCCTGGGCTAATTAGAAAAGTCTACAAACCCAGATCCCTACTGACATTCTATTCTGCAAATACTCATGTATCGCTTTCCAAACTATAAAGCTTGATTACAAAAGATCAGTAGAAATTTGTCAGAACTGCTTTTTCCACTACAAAAGTCAGTTACCCTTTTTAAAAAACCCCATTGACAACTGTGCACTCTCTCCTTAGTATATTTTCTTTCATTATTTTTAAATAACCTTGTATTGTTTGCGTATTTTTCCTGAGATTAGAGATTTTATTTGTCACTATATCTAATTTTGAATCAAACTGGCAAATCTGTTTCTTAATGACTGAATTGTTGATAAAGTTAGATGAAGAGGTAGCGGGGATATATGTTTCAACTGAATGTGCTGTTTCTAGGGCAGTTGTGAGCAATGTGACCATGAAAGGAAATGAGGCCCCACTTCTGCTCCACTGAAATCAGTGGTAAAGCTGTCATGGAATTCAACAGTACAGGATCAGGTATTGAACAAGAAGACATCCTCTTCAGTGTCACTCCCTCCCATTTAGGTATCATCATGGTCGTCACTGCTCTCCACTTCTGTGTCTTCATCTTGCTTTTGTCATCTCTTTGAAGATGTCACAGAAGTCCACACTAGGGGGACTGTACCATGGTATAGTTAAAGCGATACACTTTGTGTATGTAGACAAGCCCTCCTTCGCCTGTCTCTTAGGGTGAATGGGGATGGGAGACTCAGGTGTTGGTTGGCAGTTGGCAATGATATGCCTATAAGAGTACATAATTGGAATGGGCTTCTTTTCCACTTGAAGAGCTTCACACACTGAAAGATTTCGGTGGGATTATCAAAAGCATCCACCACTGGCTTAATTGCTCCTATTGAAGTAGACTGTAAATTTTCCATTGACCTTAGTAGGAGGAGAGTTACCCCCACCAACTAATGCCTTTGAAAATTCCTTCCTTTTTATCAACTAATTTTATTTTACCAAGTGAGCTATTGCTGAGATGGTTCTTATCAGTGCATGGTAAGGAATTTGTTTGTTTTTCCACCTGATTGGTCGTGTTATCAGAGCAGCAACAGAAGTGATATCTTGTTAGTTACGTGAAAACTTCCATTGTAAACCCAGTTTAAAAACTGGATTTAGGACAAGCTTTTCAAAAATGGACATTGAAAGTTAGGTTTCTACATCCTGAAGTTTGGTCCCAAATGACAGAAATATTCATATATTTCAGCTCATGATGTCAGGACTCTCAAAACATTTCGCAGGATGGCTGTAATCTCATGATGACAGCTGTTCCTATGAATTTGTGGCTTCAGTTTAATTAAATAAGTTAAATTAAACCCTTCTAGTTTTGATTGTGGCCCAGAACCAAGACTGAAGGGCTAGATTTACATGCAGGAATTCAAATACAAACAGCCTTCAAGCCCCAAATTGGAAATTTTAAAAGGCTCAGATTCAAGAAAGTATTTTTTTCGGCCTGATATGTTCATGCAACTTCAAAGCAGCCAAAATTCACCTCACTTGCCTGAAACTCAAACATGTCCCTTTCTCAAGACGCTTCTGGTTAGTGGCTGACTGGTCCATCTGCTGTATTTTGAGGTGGGAGGACAAAGTGAGCTTTCGCTGATTACACACACAAT